TATTGAAAATAGATTAAGCCGATTAAAGGAGCTGCTTGAAATTTGGCAAAAACATTGAAAATTTTCCAGCAAAGATTGATATTGAAACTGGACCAAATCGGTCAAAAGTATAACATAAACTGATAATGCTTTTGTATCCAAAAGCAAAAAAGTTTGAATTCTTTGCTTACTACTCATAGAGTACAAGGGATAAAACGATAACAATTTCCACTACGGATGATCCTACAAGACTTGCGACCAAATTGGAGAAGTCCGCTACGTTAACATAATTTTATAGACTATGAGATTTTTTTTTCTTAACATCAAGGTGGCAGGCATAATAGATGCGATCTTAGCCGAATATGATTTTCTTGCTTGTTTTTATAATAATTTCTTTAATTAATTTGAATCAAATTTACAGTTTTATGCTTAAAAAAAAAAAAAAAAAAAAAAAAAAAAAATCCTCACTTCTTCTTGAAGTTAACACAACTTTTTATTTAACTTTTAATGCCAAACATGTTTCATCAAATTGATTGTGAATAAACTTGTGTACATGTGTATGTATATCTATGTGTGCATGTGTATCGGCAAAAATGTATCGCTTATTATGCCGATGAGAATTAAATATCTTACAGTTCTCACAACCAAAGTCGAGAGTTGACTAGTAATAAGAAAAAAGAGAAAACAAAACAAAAAGAAAGAGGAAGAGAACAAAAAGAAAAAGACAAGAGAAAGAGTTTTTAACGAAAAAAACGATTCTTATTTAAACATGTTATTATTTATTAGTATTATTTTGTTTTTAAATGTCAAATTAATAAAAAACAAAAAACTCTTGTACTAGAAAAGAAAAATTTATGGAACAAATTCGATAGAGAAAATAACCATAAAACAAATTCATATTATTTGTGAATGTTTTACAAAACTGTGGAAAAAGTGAATATTTACAAAATTTTTTATAGTATGGTACCTATAGCATAACACAATTATGTACATAACGACTTTTCAAAATAAAGTATTATATGGGAAATCGCTGAAAAAGTGCTCTGATCGGAAACATTTTCAATACCCAAAATTTCTTAGGCCAAAATATGTCGGTCTACCGAACGCGATCAAAATATCTCAAAAATTTTTTTGAATTGAGCACAAAAAACAAGACGACCACAGGGACAGCCGAGCTTATATCGATGCAAAAAGCGATTCTAAACATAGAAAGGTGAATTTACCACAAATCGTTCTGGGTGTTGCACGCATCGATCCAAACTTAATATACTTTTGTACCACAAGTGGTGTAGGGCGAACTTTTGATTGACATAGGCTAGGCGAGAAAGTCACGATGTTTCTTAAAACACCCATTGCCGACGGCAATGATTCGCATGTTAATGTTAGATATATCGTGATGGGATCGTGATCGTTGGAAAGCATATCGTGATGGGATCGCGTTGACTTAATCTTAATAAAACAATAAAGAAAACTTCTATTCAGGGTTTTTTCGATTATTCAGTTTATCTACCTATGAAAACAAATAAAAAAATTATATTAAATTCTGACCGAATCTTTTGGAGCCATCATTTCCACCTTAAAAAAAAAAGTGGAAGTCTTAGTAGAAGTATTAGAAAATGAGTACAAATCTTTAATGTAAAGGCAGAGATCTTCTCCGTTTACTTTAGGCGTGCCCTTTGATTAATTGAACCCACACTAACCGGCTTGCAAGAATTTTAAAAAGAACTTTTCCGCAAAAATTCAAATACCACTTATGGTAAAGAATGCATTAAGTTTGTGCGGATGTATGCGACACGCATAAGGACTACAGATAGATTCACCTTTTATTACGCCGGTTGATTCAGAAGATGATTTTGACTCACTTTTTGTTTGTCTGTCTGTCTGTCCGTTTTATTTACTTGAGTTTAACCGTTGCATTTTTGAGATATTTTGGCGAAATTTGGTACGCTGGCGTGTTTCGGCTCAGGGACAAGCGCTGCCGAAAATGATTCGGATAGGGCCACATTTTCTACGGACAGACGGACAGACAGGCTTAGATCGATTTCGAATATGATTCAGAATTGCTTGGTGTAATAAAAGGTCGGTCTGTCTTAAGCCCATCTGGGTGTTACACATGCCTCAACTAACTTAATATACCCTGTACCACAAAGGGTGTAGGGTATAATGAGCATTCATATATTAACCGGGTATAATTTTTCGCAATTTATGACGAAAGTAAGTAAAGTGTTCTGTTACTTTACATCAAAAGGGGAAACTGAGGGTAATACAATTTTTCCTTTTTTCTTTTTTTTGTTTGCTCAACTTTACAGCAAGGCCTTATATAGAGAGAGAGTGATAATTTTTTTGGGAAAATGTTAAACAATTTTTATACAATTTTTCAAATTTGATAGGAAATTTTTTTTTTTAATAGCATGTTAAAAAAAAAAAATAATTTTTTATAATTTTGTTGATGAAATGCAAAACAGGTAAAGTGACTTCTGGTATATAATAGCAGCATGCAGGCATAAGCAGACGAACTAGCTCTCCTTGGTTAAGAAGGTACACATGTATGCATCAACAATGGTGTACACACAAGTGCTTGGTATTTTGGCCAGAAACAAATACAAAACACGTAATAGTTTGATCAAATTTACAGAAATTGCAACAAAAAAAAAAAAATTTATAAAATTTCCCCAAAAAAAAGGGAATTTGAATAGCGTTCCCCATAAATAAAATTAATTAATCAATGATCCACGTAATGATCTTGATCTTACGAGCATTGTTATCGATGCATAAGAAAGAGTTTTTGCAAGCATGTCATTGTTATGTAAAACGTTATTAAAAAGTCGATAAAAACTTTATATTAATCAAGACCGTATTTATGAGATATCAACCAACACTAGATAACGCGATAAAAAGGTACTTTCACTTAATTCGTGGAGGGTTTGTTTAAGCGATTACTACTTTTTATGCTCTACGCCGCTTGTGGTACAAGGCATACTAAATTTGTGCAAACGTATGTAACACTTACAAAAGCTTAAGATAGAACGATCTTTTATTACACCAATTGATTCAGAATCATTTTCTAAATCAATTCAAACCTGTCTATCCATCCCGTCTGCCCATATTTCTGTGTCCAAGCTGAAGATCGCAATTTTTGAAATATTTTGATGAAATTTGGTATACAGAGATACTTTGATCCAGAGACGAACGCTCGGTTCACTTTTTCGACCACTTCCCTTACATGGTGGTATGGAAACTTTGAATCGGTTGGGGCAATTTTTTGAAACCTCTCTCATATCGTGAGGATCATTTGGCAAAAGCGTCTAATTTTCAATGCTTCATGATGAAAATTAGATCATAACAGTAATTTAAGATGACATAAAATAATAACTGCACCAAATTTGGATCATCTTGCACTATTTTTAGGTTCCTACTCTTTATATAGAGTTTCACGAAAATTTTTAGAGCAGAAAAGTCTGAGTTTTAATATATTATGATGAAAATTGACCCGTAATAGATAAAAAAAATTAAGTCTACAAAATTTGGACCGCCCACGGATCCTACCCTATATAAGGATTTTTATGAAAATTTCAGCTTTTTAAGACAAAAAGTTTTAAGTTTTAATCTGTTATGCCGAAATTTGGCGCCTAATAGTAATTTGATATAAAAATGAACTCTAGGAAGTTTGGGCCATGTGCGCCTATTTTTGCATTCCAGCCTATATAAAGATTTTCAGTCAAATTTCTGTTTTTTAAAGCAAAAAGGTTTAAGTTTTAATATCTTCTGCAATCATTCTTACGGAAAGTGAGCCTTTATTTGCAAAAGAGGGAAATTTTTAATATACAGACCTCTAGTAGTAATTTCATATAAATTGTAATTTTTGTTTTCTATGGCAAATATATAAGAATTTTGTTGGACAATATGATATAGGGTATTTAATTGTCGTCCTAGCCTGACTGTAATGTTTTCACTGGTTTTAGTGTATACTTGCGAAACTATGCGAAATAAGTGGGCAAATGCGTTCGAAAAAACCGAGTCCTACGTTGGGTAAAACTATTTCAATATGAAAAGAGAAAAGAAAAATTCTCGTTGCTTTTTGATCAACTATATATTACAAGTAATGCAAAGATAATAGAGTTTGCATGACTTTTAGAAAACAAAAGTGAATATTAAATAATTTTACTTTCATAAAATATTTGTGTTTCCTTTGTTTAATTGCGGCCAAACATTTCTCTCTCTCTCTCTCTCTCTCTCTCTCTCTATCGCTCTCTCTCTTGGTATATGTGGTAGACGTGCGTGTGTAATAAATTAAAACATTTAAGTGCATTAAAGTGTTAATTGCTTTTGTCCTATTATTTGTTAAATATGTTTATTTGAATTGCAAATTGGAAAAAAAAGTGAAAGAATAACAGACTGCAAGACGGAAAGACTAAAATATTTACGGTATAATAAGTTTTGCATTCGCAATTTTCGTTTTATGCTTTGTGTGAGATTTTATTTTTTTTTTTTTCTATAAATCGAAATTCCTCCTCTTGCTAATGCTAGCTCTGTCTAACAGCAAAACTTTAAAAATAAGTAAGTTTTTAGTGTACAATATTCAGGCAGTGCGAGGAAACGGTGAGCACAACATCATCAATGCGCATTTTTTTTTTTTTGTTTTCTTTTCTTTTTTTGCCTCACATTTTTAATTTCACTTGAAATCGAATAATATTTATTTTCAATTAATTTTTTTTCTTTCATTTGATTTAATTGATTTTCACTTCTTTTTGTTTTTTGCCAGCATATAAGCGTTAAGAAAAGAAAAATTTTGAAAATAAAAAATGGAAAAATCATTTGTGAGTTAATTACTTTTATATATGTATTTTTTTCTTCTTTTCCTATCAAAAAAGTTTCTTTCTTAATTTTTCTTTTTAATAAAAATTTTTGATGAATGGTTTTTTATTTTATTTCTTTATTTAAAGTTTACTCTTTACATATATATATATATATTAATACATATATATATCCCTCTCTCTTTCTCCATCTCTATAGGCACTCACTTTATTTTAAAGTTCTTTTTCGGTTTTCTTCTTGTTTCGAACTCAACACTCTCTTTAGGCACTTTATTGATTTGCACACCGTTTACTTATCCGTACGAATCGTTTTTCCCGTTTCTTAAGCACTTGCCGAGTTCGTTGTCTTTAGTTAACTGAATTGAAGTCTTTCGTCTTTTCTTGTCGAAAGCTAAAGAAAACATTGGTCATGCACAAAGCTACACTCATGCTATACACATATATAAAAGCATACACACAACAAAATATTTCAAGTTATTTTTCTTCTATGTTAAACATGAATTGGTTTTCTTAAGTAAGATACTCGCTCTGGCTTATATTGTTTGCCTTCTAAATGTACATATGTAAGAGTATGCTTGAACTTATATTAGTCAACTTAGCCATCGGCGGAATCGGTTAAACGGTAGGTTTTGCTATTCAAAAGAACCGAATAATTTTTGAAAGCGTTTCTGCTGATGACATATAAAAGAAATCAAACCCTTAAGCTAAGCATTCTAAGCATTCGGGCTTTACATTTGAAATAGTTTCGATTATAATCAAATGTATTTTTTTTTTTTTTTTTTATTAATAGTAATTATGAATGAATGAGTTGAGGCATTTTCGTATAATGAATGTTCACATACTCAACGCATCTAAAGATAGGCATGCAGTAAATTTATCCTTCGGCTGATAATAATCAGAATTAAGCTTTAAAATACCCGTCATCATCAGAGTCGATTTTGACTTGTCCGTTCGTCCATGTCAAGTTCCTTCCGTTCTAGTAATGAGTGCTTGTGGTCTCTTGTAAAGAAAGCCCATGATCGGAATAATGGCGGGAGTAAGGTGAAACACAGGTTAAGTTCGAACGTAGACATGATCTAAGCATGAGAAGCGTGAAAAGCAAAGAGAGAGGTAGAAGGATATATATATATATATATGTATATATTTATATATAAAAATGTATGTATATATAGAGAGAGATAGAGATAGAGAAATGGAGAGAGAGAGAGAGATAAGAAATGGCTACAGTTTGAAAGGTTGCTGTCTGCTATGCTTTTATCGACCGAAGGGGCACTCGGTACTTTAGCTGCAATTACTTACCAATCGTAATTGAAATATGGCCTACCGGCACTGAAGATTGAACCTAAGTACGGCCGGGTATGTCGTGCATCTTAACTATATGATTTTTAAAATACATGGCTTCTTAACTATTGGCTGTACGGTGGGCAAAACTCGTTACAAATATCTTTTGTGGGCAAAACCGAAGTCCAGCCGAAAATCGAACGCGATCAATTGACTGTCACAACAAAATAACGTACTTTTTTTCTAATGTATCGGTTAGATGCAAAACTTACCCGTCAGTGGAATACAATTCCGAAAGGAATACATACACACACACACACGCACATTCCCAAATATAAGGTAATGATGACTCCACCAAGAGGAAAGAAGACGTACGTAATAACACGTATACGTATAGACGATTTCAACTAAGGGTCAGACCTAATGCAATACTTAAAAATAGTTTCGAGAAGATTAGCGTCAGACGTGAAATGAATTTTGATGAGCTGAAAGCCGCTTACTGAATTTACGCTCTTAGTGTTTTCCTTTGTTAAAAAAAAAAAAAGAAAACGAGAGCATACACACACACACACACACTGGGAGAAAGCGTTTGTTCGCTTTAATAGGCAGACTTCGTTGTTTTTATTGTGCTTTTTTCTTCCCGGACTTACTATATTTTGCCTTCTTGTGTTGTGTTTTCTTAATTCACCTAAACATGTCCATCGGTTTATCTGTCTAACTGTCTATCTGCGCAACAGTGTAGTAGTATGTGGAAAACAGTCTCCCAAAAATAGAGCAAAAATAAAAATATTGCTTGCAAATTTGAGGAAAAAATTAAGAACGCGTAAATAACGCCCGCACGTCTATTCGACAAAACCTTTTATTAGAAAAACAGAAGAAATCAGCTGCGCCCACTGCAGAGAATGAAAATTTACTTCTTTTACTTCTTTTGCTTTTTTTGAGGGCAACGGTAATGGATATAAACGATTCAGTCAGGACCGAATATTATTTTCTTACTTATTTTACAATTATTTCCAGCAGAAAAATAAATTCTAAGCCTACAGTCTTAAAGCATTTATTTTTCTTGACTTGTGAAAAGACTAAGTTGAAAAAAAACATATCTTAATACATGTCGTTCTTAACTTTTGACTACGTTTCTATTTCATGTTTGTTGAATGTACTAGTGTTGTACCGCTGTTAACATAGCTGTGGAGGGTATGAGGCGTTTTTAACATAATGGCGCCTATGAGGCGTTTTAAACATAGTTGTGGAGGCTATCAATTCTCTTTAACATAATGGAGGCTATGAGGCGTTTTCAACATAAGCCGTTTTTAACATAGTTGTGTACACTATGAGTGGTTTTTAACATGGTTGTAGAGGTTATGCGTCGTTTTTAACATAGCTGTGGAAATCATCCATTTTTAACATAGTTGTGGGGGTCATGCGTCATTTTTAACATAGTTGTAGAGGTTATGCGTCGTTTTTAACGTAGCTGTGGAAATCATCCATTTTTAACATAGTTGTGGGGTCATGCGTCGTTTTTAACATAGTTGTGAAGGTCATGCGTCGCATTTAACATAGTGGTGGAAGCCATGGGTCGTTATTAACTTAGCTATAGAGGCTATCGTTCGTCGTTTTTATCATACCTGCACAGATCATGCGACGTTTATAAAATAGCACTAGAGGCCATGAATCGTTTTTAACATAGTTGTGGAGATCATGCGTCGTTGATAACATAGTTGCGGAGGTCATGTGTCGTTTTTATCAAAGCTGCAGAGATCATGCGACGTTTATAACATAGCACTGGAGGCCATGCGTCGTTTTTAACACAGCTGGGAAGGGTATGGGTTTTTTTTTTTTGAGATAGTGGAGAGTTTGAGTCGTTTTTAACATAGTTGCGGACGCGTCTTTATTGGACTCCACTACATAGTTTAACATCTCTGTTTTTAGCATCTAAAACTATTGGCTTTTTTAATTTTAATTCTTCAACAATCAACTTTAGAGAAATGAACACGAATGTCTTTATAACATTCGAACTCCTTTTGGCATGAATTTTATAACCGCTTCGTAGTGTTGGAGCACTAAGTAACCGTTTCTATATGATTTGTTAAAATCGCAACTTTTTCTTCTTTAGTATTTTTTTTTTTTAATTTTAACAATTACTATTTACAAAAATAATAATAATAATAATAACAACAACAAGAACAGCAAACAACTAAACGTCGAGGTCGTCTGGTTTCTTGTTATTTTTTTATCTTTTCTTTAACACATGTTTTCAACACATATGCATATGCAAGCACCACAATCATGTAAACTATTACTGTAAATATGCATTTGGTAACTTTAAAATTCTTACAATGCAACTATTGAGACATAACGTCATATACATAAATGCATAAGCAAAAATTTACGAAGGCATACAGAAGCAAAGAGATTTCAATCAAAGAGCGAATAAATGTTTAAGAGAAAATATCTTTTTCTTTCTCTGTCTTTTTTATTTTTTTTTTTGTTAAAAAAAAAAAAAAAAAAACAAAAACAGATTTCTTCATTCTTTCTTATGCCATTTTAAATCATTCGCATCTACTGGATCGTTGCACAGATTGGCGAATTCCTCATTACGTTCTTTGCATTCAGACGCTGTTGGTCCCGCTTTATAAGTTGGGAAGCCGTATATATTAGTTGTTGAATAATTACAAATGAGAATTGTAATGCGCATCTCTTGACCATTGGACAAGCGATTGTTTACTAAATTACAACCAACATGAGTCTGGCGATCATTCACCAGGACAGTAAAATGACCAATTGGTGGTCTGCAAAAAAAAAACAATTTTGTAAAATTCTTCTTTAAGTTACAAGAGAAAGAAAGAAAAAAAAATCATACATTCTTTGATGATAAGCTTGCAGTAGATTACGATCGACATTTTGATATTCCTCGAACCATCGATTTATCGCTTCTTTTATAAAATACTCCGTCTTCAAGTTCAAACATTCTGTTGTAGACTTGAAAATATTTTGACCAGCTAAATGAAATCGTTCCGTGCTTCGGCATTCATCGTGATCGAAAATACATGTGCGTGCGTTATATTCAGCTGTTAAAGCTAAATCCCAATCCCAATGCTTTCGAATGTAAAATAGAAAATAATCATTACGTTCTCATGGGGCTTTGAAAAACTTTTGTTCAATAGATCTATCTACCAAAACTGGCATCCGGACTGCTGAGTCGAAATTGCTGACATTGCCGCCAGCTAACTGGTTTCTATAGCGGTTATGCTCGCTTAGTATTAGGGATATATAGTTTCTCATGTCTTCTAATTTTACTTCTCCCTCGCAATTTTCTGAAAATGTCTAAAAAAAAAAAAATACTTCAAAATTCGACCTAATTTTTTACATAGGCAGCTAAGATGCAGTTTGGTGATATCCACAAAGGCAACAACTTATATATACGCAAAGAGTTGTGCCACCATGTTTCCACACGATTTGCTAACACTTTATCTCGCAGGTAATTTCGCAAACAAACCCGAAATGTTATCTAGATTTTGAACTCAACTTCTGCCGAGTAGCCGAATAGTGCGAGTGCCTAGTCGATGAGGGCTTAACATTTGCCGATTAATGGGTACTTATTCCCCGAGTGATTAGTCATAAAAAAAAGAAAAAAGCTTGAGTGCAACGATAAGCAAAAATATAAAATCAAATTTTTATACGTTTTGTTGTGGTAGGTTTTTGTGGATGTATGCAATACTCAGAAGGACTGAGATACGCTCACATTTTATTGTACCGATGAACTAAGAAACGTTCTCTGAATCAATTTCATCTTATCTGTCTGTCTGTACGTCTGTCTGTATTGTTTTCTTGTATTCAACAGCCAGAAGGACACAAGATACGCCTACCCTTTATTATAGCGATGAGCTAGGAACCATTCTCCGAATCAATTTCATCTCGTCTGTCCGTCTGTCATCTGTCCGTCTTGTTTTTGAAGGACCTAAAATACGCCTACCTTTTATTATAGCGATGAGGTAGGAATCATTTTCTGAGTTAATATCATCTTGTCTGTCCGTCTATGCGTCTGTCCATCTTGTTTTCTTGTATTCAACAGCCAGAAGGACCGAAGATACGCCCACCTTTTATTATGCCGATGAGCTAAGAATCATTTTCCGAATTAACTTCATCTTGTCGGTCTGTCTGTGCCTCTGTCCGTCTTGTTTTCTTGTATTCAACAGCCAGAAGGACCCACCTGTTATTAAACCGATTAAGCCCGAGTCATTATCTGAATCAATTTTATCTTCTCCTTCTTGTTTTCTTGGGTTCAGCCTATAGATGACAATTTCGGATATATTTCAGTGAAGTTTGATGCGCTGACATCATCTACATGAACGCTATTGAAAATGGTTCAGATCGGATGACTTTTTCGATCACTTGGGATAGCGTTGCTAAGTGATAGGGTAGCAGTGCTACCTAATGCCATGGTTTTCAATTTATAAAGCACGAACTGTTGCGAGGCCAAGGACCAAACTTTTTAGTTTTTACTTTTTATAACCTACACCACCTGCGACACCAGGGTTTATTAAATTTGTGTAGGGTATTTAATGATAAACTGTAAGTCAATACAGTGTTGTTACTTCTTTCTTGTAAACAAAATCTTGAGCTCGTTATCGTTCTCTCAATAGAGGCTTAAACAGGCGCTCAAGGTCGTTATTCTCTAAATAAGGAATCACGCTTTTCAAGACATTTGCGATGCAAGCATTTGATAAACTGCATATACCCTGTTTTCAGTATAAAAATTCTTACTCGATTTTTCCCACAAGCCACATGCTCTCCTTGATAAGGACATAGATCTCTATTGCAAAAATCGATTTGATCACTTTGACAAAAATTACTGGATATTTTCACCAAAATAATCAAAAGTAAAAGCTTCGACACAAACAATTCCATTTCGTTTTTCGTTTTAGCGATGACTGTTAATAACTATAAAATCAAGAACTTTTCCATTTCCTTTTAATATTAAATACATTATAAGTAAGACATTTTTCGTTAACGCTTATCTCTTCATTTTTTTAGTTATTAGTTAAAAACGATTTCTTGAAATTTATTAATAATTAAGTTTAATTAAATATTTTTACTCAAAAAGTTAATAGAGATTTTTGTAAAGATTTTAGATATTCTTCATATACATATATATATATATATATATATATTATTAGGTGGTTGAGTAAGTGTCCGCTGACTTTTTAAGTAATATTTCACAAAAAAACAGGTAAGAAAATTAAAAATTCGGTCGTGAACGAATCTTTTATACCCATCGCCTTTATCCCAAAAAAGGCAAAAAAAGTAAAAAAACAAAATTCTCATGCTCTACAATATGGAACGGGCGCAATTCATTTTTTCTATTTTCAAAATAAAAGTTTTTGTCGTAGAGGCATGTGGGCGTTGTAGGCCTTTGTCCTTTGAAAAGTTTAAGTCACTTCGAAATTCTTATGCAAATTTGTAGGCGATATCTTCATTTTCGTGAACGGAAGAATGTTTACCACAAATACTAAAAAGTCCCGCAAGCATATAGATAGACAGGCGGACATGTTTAGGTGTATTCCTAATTTGAAACTGACCAAGAATTCATACACTTTATGGAGTTTTTGAAGCTTATTTCTGCGCGTTATGAAGATATTGAAAGATTTTGATGCACTTTAATATTGGGTTAGGTGTGATCAAGTTTCTCCATTTTTGTGCACAAATGTTACAGCATCGCCCATAGAATATGCGATCAAATTTTGTTTATTTATTTACTATAGTTTATGAGTAATGGGCGAAAAATCAATTGTTTTATTCCTTTTGGAAAATAAAGGTGTTGTCAGTTTACGTGGTACTATGGATGTGCCTTTCGGCCGATTTGACCCACTTTCAATACCAACTTGTGTATAAGAACTTCTAACGTTTCTGCCAAATTTGAAGTCGATAGCTCTACTTTTGCGGCCATGTGAATGTTTACCACAAACAGACAGACGGATAGACGGACATTTTTAAGTCGGTTTAGAATTGGATGCTGATCGAGAATATGTATACTTTGTGGGATCCGTGATGATTCCTTCTGGGCGTTGCAAACGTTTTAGCAAAATGAATATACCCTTCATCTTCCGGTGATGGGTATAAAAAGCATATAAAATAATGCAGCATAATAGACTAGTGTTTAATCTTAAAAGGATTACGACAATGAATTTGTAACTATTGTTTGGAATTTATGAGAATGTAATGAATGATTTGGTTATCTTGAAGCTATTCCTGACGAAGTGTTTTAAATAGCATATTAAGTCCTGGCTTGGCCAAACAAAGTGTGGGCGGGAACGCACCTCTGCTCTTATCTCTATGGATTAAAAATGGGCCAATTTACAGCTGATAAACGATGTGCTGTCAATATTATGATATTAGTAACCTTTATTAAGTAACACTTGCACCAGATAGTAGTAACAACAATAATTGGTTCTATTTCAATACTGTTGCGTTTCGTACGCAAATGCATTTACGTTTTAATACGTTACCCCGACTGTCACGGATGTGAATTGACCGATTTAAAAGCTGTGAACTGTGTCTTCAACAGAGAAGAGAAGATATCGTTAATGCTTTTAACACATCTAAATGTTAGTCCGTATTTTGGAAACGTAAGGTTCTTTTAGCGTTCGTTGTACAGTTTTTTTTTTTAGTAAAGTTGAGTTTTTTCATGTAAAGTTAATAATCATTTTTCTATATAGATTGATAAGCGAATTTTTAATCCTTGGCAAACCAACATTGTTTTCGATCATTGATCAACTTTCATTTAATTTTCTTATGTGTGTTTGTGTGTATCAATAAGATCAAAATACGTCATAACTACTCATGAAAAACCCAAAAACTCTTTCTCTTTTTTTGAATTGATTATATGAGCAATTACGTGACTGATACTTCACCGCATTATATTATATGTTTAGTAAGGCATTGGTGCGATGATAGCAATTAAAGAACGCATTAATGTCTGCGATCGTTACACTTTTATTTATGCAACAACTATAATTGATTAAAGTTTAAAAAATTTCTCCAATAAATTTACGATATTCAAACGTGTTCTCTTTTACTAATCAAATGTGTCATCTCTGTTGTAGCTCTCAGTATTTTTTGTTCCTTTTTTTAGTTATATAAAATCCCTTATACGGTAATCACACACCCAGCAAACGATTTTATACGTAATGATGGTAACACTGGCATTAGAAGTAGAATGAATTCATTTTACCAAATTTATACACATTTAAATTTAATAGGAAAAAAAATTGGGAAGCAAAGGAGCAAAATTATAAATTTAAAGTACACAAAATTTAACAGAGTAACGGTATCTCAAACATATCCACTTCAATAAATTAATTAAACAAAGTAATAATGAAAAACGCACAAAAATTTATTCAATATGAATGAATCAGAAACAGTGACAACGACAAGCAAGTGACCTCAAGAAGTGAAAATTTTGCATTTCTCAAAAAGAAAGAAAAAAAAAAAGTGAAAGAAAGGAAATATATTTACGCATATGCTGTGAATAGAAGTTTGCAAAAAAGAAAGGTAGAAAAAACTGGCCAAACTGTCCGTTATTACTGGCAAATATATAAAAAACAAGTCAAACTGCAGCTGAAATGGGCAGTTGTATGGGACGTTACAGTGGGGATAATGAAACAGTGAGTGTATCATCGGCCAGTGCGTCTCGACCGCCGACAGGTAAGTTCAAGGTTGACCTGTCAGCCAGTCATCACTATAAATATATAATTGATCGGTTTCATGCATATTGAGGACCCCAAATAGGAGCTGCCCGCAAAAATCGTCCTTTATGCCATGAAACAATACGTTGGCGATCAGATGTGCCATTAACAGAAGGTCAATTGCGTTCGAAGCGAGATGAATTCTGGGATACGGCACCCGCGTTTGATGGCCGCAAAGAAATATGGGATGCTTTAAGGGCAGCCACAACCGCTGCCGAAGGATTGGATTTTCAATTAGCTCAAGCCATATTAGACGGAGCAAATGTTTCAGTACCGAATGGGTAAGAAAAAAATCAAATCGAACACAAAGCTTTATTTTGTTCTTATTATGTGACAACAAAAAGGTCAAATGTCTTTTTGTTTATATCATCCACGGGACAAACAAAACATTTACATATATTAACATTATTGAGTAAACTAAAAATCGATAAAAGCCCTATGTATATATGCATAATAATAAATAGCGTGTTTATTGTCCGTCTGTCGTCATCAATACACATTCTTTTTAATGACCGCCTTGTTTACGCTGGTTAGATTTATTGAAATACATATATGAAACCCTGTTGCTAATTGCTTCAATTGGTCATAATAGGCATTATGACGAGTTGATGTTGCTTTCGTGTGTATGTTACAATTTTATTAAATTAATCCTGCAGACAAGAGCTCTGGGAGATTTCAATACATTCTCTGATGAATTTTTGTTTTTCCATCACGCTGTTAAAATGATAATGAGTAACAAAAATTTTTTTTTTTTAATTTAGCTTTGTTTTTATAGGCTTATATGTATGTGCGCTTTTATTTACACAAGTATAATAAAAATTTATTCATATATATATATATAATTAGTACCAATAGTTTAAGTATGCATACATATAATTATAGTAAGTGTAGTTGTAGTGTTATAAAGATGAGTAGATAACCTATTCTCGAACAGGTTAAATAGCAGGCAATAAATCAATGAAAGTTAAATTTTCATTTTAATAACAGTCAACCTATATTTGAAATCGTTTGGAAAGCGCGTTAAAGAGAATAAATTTCATAGATTTCTTACGCATGTTTTAGAGGTGGCAAAAAAAAACCCCCAGGAGTAGCCATTGGATTTCCGTAACCAAGATCGAATATTTATATGAAATAGACTTCGTAGAATTAATACACCTTTCGAAAGTGGAAATTTTTATGTCGATAAGCTCGCTGTCTACAATTCCAAACATTATAGGATGAAAAGCATATATTTTTAAATATATAAATGGTCAATTCTGGCTTGAAGTCATCCAATCAATCAATTATATATTAATTAATTTTACGCTTCAATGCCTTAAATGCGAAAGCAGGATTTTTTCAAGCCTTCCTCATTTATTTTTTTTTTTGGGAAGCGACTCACCGTTAAACACCTCAAAACCACTGCGATTGAAACGGTTATTCATGTAATGACTTGTCAATATAAGATATTATATAGAAAAGTGTTAAAAAATTGACCATATCCGATACATTTTGAAAATTAAAATTCTTTCCCACATAAGGACTTCTCAGAATATGGCGCTATATGGGGAGTGGTCGAAGAAGTGGACCGATTCGAATCATTTTCAATAGTATCAAATTTGATCAAGGTATCTCAATAATTGCGACTTGTAACTTGGACACAAATTTACATGAAGAGTCATCAAACGGAGAGACAGGCTTAGATCAATTCAGATAACGATTCGTATAATAAAAAATGGGTTCTTCTTAAGCCCTTCTGCTTGTTTCATACGCACCGTATTAAGTTACCACTGTGCCACAAGTAGTGTAGGGTATAACTAGCCCACACTTTACTTAATTACCATCTTTTCATCAACTTCGGAATTCATTCAACAATTATCAAAAAAAGAACCGATAATAATTTTAACCTCAACAATTTTTGAGTACAATTCATGCTGATACTCCACTCAACGGTTAGAACGTTTATTAGGTGGTTGCAAAAATTTTGATCATTTTTCACTTCAAAAAGGCGTTTATTGTGGAAAATTGGTGCAATATATGTTAACTAAAATAGTTTTCAACGCTGCCTACAACATCTTACAATATTTTTGGCGATATCGTGTCGAAAGAATTTACATTGGTTTGGCAGTGATCCACCCACCGACCCATTTTCGTCCTTCTTCGATTTTGCGAACCGGTATGCCAACCAAGCCATTTTGCATCGATCTGAGCAAGCGGTAATTAAGCGATGCCATATTTGGTGACCGCGCTGGGTGTGACAGAACTTCCAATATGAGCTGCAACAGTGTGTCCTGGATAAATCTTGCAATAAGTGGCGAAAAAATGGTATTTTCAATCAGTTCACGTTGCCACTTTTAAACTGTTGAAACCAAAACCGACAATTGAGATGTGATGGAACAGCCTCACCATAAGTCTCTGATTATGTTTGGTGGGCTACGGCTGCAGGTTTCTTGAAATGAGCGACAAAAGTAAGGAATTAAAGAGAAGAAGAATTTTGAGCGCTTCCTATTTACCATCGGCATACGCTGAATAAATCAGTAATATTAAATGAAAAGCTGTTATTTTATGTAAAGGAAGATCAAAACTGTCGAATTCATCCCTTGTCTGCATTGTTATTTCCCTTTTTTTTTATCACTTTTACTTGTAGAGGTTATTGATCAAAACTTCTGCAAACACCTACTATATATATATATATGTATACATGTATATATATTTCAAGTGCTGATTTTGCCCTTTGTGAGTGAAGCTACCCTACAAATGATTACAGCTTTAATTGTAGAATATTAAGGCTAAGGTTTCGTTTTCTTTTTCTTCTCCAACGGGACTAAAAATCTAAGCAGCTGCTGGAAAAGAAAGTCTAAATGGAAAATGATATGATTTTCAATATTTTCGTCAATACTGACTTTCTTTCAACCTCAATCTAACCTTCAATCCAATCTAGGTAATAAAATGTACCTAGCAATTAGGAGTTCAAACTTGGACATTATACAATCGGGCATTAAAATGGTCTATGACAAGTGTCTGCCTTGATAAATAGAAATTGTTTTAAAAAGAATACTTACTAAACATCCTCATTCTTTTATGTAAGCTAATCTAATATTTAAATTTTTTTATTTATTTTTTTTTTTTATTTTAGGAGATTGGAAAATTAATTTGCTTAGCAAACCTTTTAGGTATTTTCGTATTTACATTTTTCATATGAATACCTTAGCGTTTATAAATTGAAATGCGATAAGCGCGTTAATAATAAATAATAAATGCCTGCATGCAATTAAAAAATTAATTATTATTGATTAACGTGTTCTAATTGTTTTCTTTTGCTTTACAGTTACCTGACTGAATGTTATGATGAGTTGGGCACACAATATAAAGTGCCGATCTACTGTTTATCGTATCCTATAAACATTGTTAAAGAGGAAAATGGTCGCGATTCGCCGGCCGAATTTTCGGAACCAGTTGATGGCGGCAATGAAATATTCCTAAAGCTAAGAGTATCCTCCACTATGTCGGACATTAAACTACCCGTGTACTCAAAAGATACAGTTGGCCAATGTAAAAAGAAACTTCAGGTTAGTTTGCTGCATATTTACAGGTGCAAGAGGATTTAGGGAATAAGTGTTACGTAGTCTCTAAAACTAATTGTTTTTAATTTCCAAATCATCAAAGTTTTGTTTTTTTTTCTCTTTGTTTTCTTTCAACTATATCGCTTAACTGCAAGTACAAACCTTGCTGTGTATCGAAACCATGCTTCATAGGTACGGAGATAAACAGGGGGATTGTCTGCAATTTGTAACAACAGCTCTTAACTTAATTTAATCCCTCAAGCATTTCTTACGGCAATACGTTGACAATATTAACAAATAAGAACGATATGCTCTATTGTGATCGAATGATCTTAAAAGAAAAAAAAAACCGAAAAACCTAAATTTTCATACTCTATAATATTAAGTGGGCGTGGCTGGTAAATACACGCGGAATACGCACATACGTCTGCCGTAGTTTATGGGTAACGAGTATAAAATCGTACAGCCAGAGGCGTTCGCAATTCATGTTGCATTGTGCAAGTATGCTTTCATCAAATGGTCGCATAACCTGAATGCAGGCTCTTACCAAGTAGCGAGTAGATCAATTTTTGCGGCCAAAAGAATATTTGCTGCTAACATTACGTGTAGATGGACGGATGGGCATGTCTATTCGACAAATCTATTCAGAATTTGATGCTTGATTGCATATAATTCATTGTCTGTGTATGTGCATGCGTGAAGTGTGTCATATATCCTTTACTTGACGCGAGTTTCCTTCCGAAATCTCTTTTTGGACGTTGTGAACGTTTTGATAAAACGAATACAATCCCCTATCCTTGGGTGGTGTGTATCACCCAAAAGAAATCTTCAGATATCCTAGGAGGTGTAAATATTCTTGATAAGCGTGAAATTCTGAGTTGATTTAGCCATGTCTGTCCGTCTGTACGGTGTTTGTTGTTGTCGCTCTCCTGGTCGCAAAGATGGAAATATCGACTTCAAATTTGGTAGAAGCATTCGAAGTTTTTGCACGCAGTTTGGTATTCAAAATGGGCTAAATTGGTCAGAGCAGATATGCTCCCGCAGTGGAGCATAAACTGAACGTAACTTGGTTTTTCTTAAAAAAATTTGTGGGTTCTTGCTCATTAGTCAGAAGTTATAAAAGATAGAAGACTCAAATTTTCCACATCTACTTTACGAAGCTCTTTACTCCTTACGCGCAAAAATGGAAAATATCCGCCCACACAAAGTTAGAAGTGATTAAGTTTTGTTTTTTTTTTTCCCCTTTTTTGAAATTTTATGCTTATTTATCATAAAGTAAATAAGACAGAATGTTTAAAACTATTTTATACATTCCTCAATCTGCCTAAAAGTGGGTTAATTTTAAAATGAATATGGTAGAGGCCGTGATTAATTTTTTCCTAATAATGCCAGCGATATGGGTATCACATAAGAGGACTTGGAGAATATGGATATATTCAGAATCCCTTTCTGAATCGATTTTCTATCCGTTTATCCATCCATCTTTCCGTTTTTTTTGTTTGGCTTGTCTAGGGCTACACTTTTTAGATATTTTGATGAAATTTGGCACATAGACCAGCTTTTTACGCAAAGACGAGCGTTATTGAAAATGGTTCGGACCGGACTGGACCGCCTTCTTGAGCAATTTTCTTAATTCCGTCCTAGTTTGAAGGGTCGTTATGTAAATAACTGTAGTGTGGTGTAGGATATTTATTAGCGGGTCATTGCCTACTATGACATTTTTAGTTGCCATTCACTATAGCTACGACTGAAGAAAGCTTTACCTACCTTCAGATTTGAACCGCGAATGCTGACTTCGCAGTGAGGGTTTTTATTTACTCGGTTACTTAGTCGGTCCGTGCATACCGTCCGTCTTGTTTTCTTGCGTTCATGCTGCATAACACACTTTTTGAAATATTTTGATGAAATCTGGATGACATATTTTGGCTCAAGGATGAATTCTATTAAAAATGAACTGGATCGAATCACTTTTTCAACCCTTTCCCATATAACATCTTATTTTGAACAATTGTTACATGAATAACCAAAATGATGTAGGGCATTTAACTGTGGCCCGTGTCCCGTGTCCCACTATAGTTTATTTACTTCTTTTTAATTATTAAAGCGAGTTATATATACATATCTTCTATTATGTACTTATAGGCTCTCGAAGGTGTTGAGGCATGTTGTCAACGTTGGTTTTACAGCGGTAAATTGTTGGGTGACAAAGTACCCATCGAGGAATGTAATATACAAAGCGGTTATGTTGTGCAAGTGATTGTAAATAGTGAACATTTCAATCATGACAATAGCACAAGTATCGCGCCTGCAAGCTAGCCAACGTCCTCTAAAAACAATTGTTTACGATTAATATTAACAATAAGAACAGCACCGAAAGCAGCAGCAGCAGTAGTAGCAGCGGCAATAGTAAAATTAATATCAAATTTTATAATTTTGATTTTAATTTTAGTAAATATTTTATTCAGACCAAATATTTTAAAAAAGCAAAACTACGCAATAAAAAAATACAATATTTTAGTTAATGTTTGTTGCAACGGGCTAAACGTTAACAAAGTAAGGAATGATTTTCTATTAATCAGTACAATGCAAGGCAAATAGAACTCAATATCAATTGAATTGAAATTTCATTTAAAAGAACTATATATATATATATATATACATTATATATATAGGATATATATATAGTATATATGTGCAATATATATATACATATATATTTAGGATATATATATATATATATACATATACATATATATATACATATATATATACATATACATATATATATACATATACATATATATACAATACATATATATACATATATATATTGTATATACGTATCTATATATCTGTATACCTATACATATATATATTAAATAAATTAATATACTAAACATTTTGTAACCAGAAATTTGTTTTCAATTACAATTTTACGGTTGTGGTAAACAAGTCTCATTTGTTTCTCTGCCTTTTTTTCTCTTTCGCTTTTAATTAAAATGAATCTAAAATAATGTAGAGAATACGAAAATTAATATCTAATAAAAATTAATTCAGTTAGTTTTCAATTAAGAATTTTTAATGTAAATATAAATCCCTTTTAGGGTTTCGTTATTATTATATTAAAAGAATTAAAAATGAGAAAATAGAATTAAAAAACAAAATATTAAAACAATTAAATCTAGGAAATATTAATAATTATTATTTAAATATTTAACAAAACTTGTAAAAAAAAAAGAATAAATAAATAAAAATAATAATATAAACGAATTTTCGTTTACGTGTACATTTTACAATCACGACAAAATACACATACACACACACACACACACACACACACACACACAAACACAAACACAAACACACACACACACACAGTAACAAACAATAACAATAACGGTAAAAGTCTAATTGAAATATAAATGAAATTAATATAGAATTGATTATTAAACTTGAATATTGTATAGAAATTAATTTAATAACTTTATATAAAAAAGTAATTAAAAGTTAAAATTTATACTTATGTGTTAATGTTTATAACCAAATATGTAAATAAGCCAGCCATACATATATATATAAATATATATATATCTATATATATATATATATATATATTCGTACATATATACATATATATATATATATTATTTTATTTAATATTTAATTAATAGTATGTTTACCACTGTACTGAAATAATATTCAATTGTGTAACATAACATACACGCAGACTTAAATACATCCATTGCTCATTTATTATTTACCCAATATTTATTTATTTAATTAGAGAATAGAAAGAAAGACAATTTGTAAAAATTAAAAAAAAAAGAAGGGCAAAAAAGCAGACTCTACAATTGCTTTTCTTTGCTCTAAAATTAAATTTGATTTAAATTAAATTTTTTTTTTTTCGAGCCACCCATTACCGAAAATTGCCGAATATATTAAATAATATATATACTCATGCATATGGCATATCTACACACATTGATATAATCTGTTATATACATACATATGCATATATATGTATCAGATATAATCTGTTATGTATTTATGTATACAAATTGTTTGGCACAGACCGGGGTTTAAAAGCGGGTGCAATGGGCCATGATTTCACGCACAATCAATACGAAGCAGCTGCTTACAATTACATAGTAATCCAGGTTATACTATATATGCCCACATGAACGAAGAAATCATTTGGAAAATATTATTCTCGGTTTTTCCTTTTCTTTGCTCTTCCAAAAATCGTAAGGCATATATTCCTGTTCGACTTGCAACTGGATGCAAATTTAACCAGGTTTGGCCAAGTCTTAATTCAACTATTTTTAAAATATTATTCTCGGCTTTTTACGACAGATTTATATTAGTTTGTTCATATATATATATATATATATATATATATATATATATATATGTATATATTCCGGACTTTGCAACTTTGTACAGGTTTGTCGGGGTGTTAACTCACCTTACGACCTTCAGACGTTTAAATTGAAGCTGAAAACCAGCCGCATGGCTTAAGACCACAAGTCAAGCTTGGAAGTGTTCGTTATGCGCCCGCAAATACCTAACCCATTGAGCGGTAATTATTAAAGGTTCGCGTTAAGAGGTGTGTAACCATTTTTTTTTTTTTTTTTTTGGTTTATAGGATTTGGGAGTGGGGGTGGAGGGCTGGTGTCATAAATATATAAAGGCCTACTTATACCCATCGGATGTCTTTCCAGAATTTGTAGGTGCACCATGAGTGTAAGTTTCCGAACTACTTTGCTTAGCATGATAGTTTTAAAAATTACTTATACATATATACTTGGCTTATAAATTCGTAACATAAATTCTCAAACTTCGGAAACTTGCTTGTAATGCCTGAAAGATTAGATTCCGTTGTGAGGGACTTTAATGAAAATAAAGTGTTTCGGTAGCTTGTATCTAAATTGTTCTGCAGTTAATATGCTTCTTAATGACGCAAAAATATTTAAGTTTTGTATGAAGGTGTATCGCAATCAATATTGAAACCCAAGTTCATTTATGTGCTTTAAGAAGTGGTTATTGTTCAAATATGCCCAGCGTTCTCTTTCGCCTTTTAAACTTTACAACGGGCAACGGCTTCTAATGTCGGGTGAGTTGAGTCATGTCCACGTCTACGATCGTTGCTCTACTCCATTATGCTGCGTATTATATGGTGTGCGTGCGCCCTTTATCTGCGCTTTTTAATAATATTTTTATTTTATTATTGACCTGCTATTCGGTACCATTGCAAAGATCTGACTCTTGAACATGTACTACCGCTTTTCGTGCGTTCCTTGAACTTGTCTATGACTTCGCTTTTACTTTTTAGGAAACAAATTTCTTGGTTTGCCTTAGGAACGGGTGCGTACCTTACCATAACCGCTATGACGTATAGGATCCAGGTAATTCCTTACTTTTTCGTTTTGAATGGGGGTGAATAGCGTCTTGATTGTTTTTCTCGGTAGAATTAATGCTTGATCTTATAATTTAATCTCAGATGCTTTGGTCATGGCTTACAAAATATATTTTGTGCCTTGTCTTATAGTACCAATGACGTGTTACGTCTTCTTTTCCGTTCACATTGCATCCACGGACATTTCTTATGAAGGAAACTATGGTTTCTTTAATTTGTAAGTTTTGGTAGGAACTCTTTCTTGTGGAAAATAACTACGTCATTACTATCGGCTATCTTGAGGATCCGTAATATAATTTTGTTAACTAGATCATAGATAGAAGTGTTGAGGAATGTCTCTGCCTTAAATAGGCAGAAAACTGGCAACGTTTTATAGAGTTCTTAAGTTCTGTTTCAATAAGAATTCGAAGGTAAAGCGTTTTCTTTATACGATGTTATAAGATAGTACAGTAAACAAGTTTTAGTTTACTCAAAAGCTTGCAAAATTCATAATTTTGAGTGACTAACATGGGGAACCTTAGTTAATATCAGTTTTGTCATTTTAATTTATGAAAATCCTATGACCCGGGCGATTGAGTATTGGTTTGATTATGATTAACGCAACATACCAAATATTTAACACATAGGCAGTTTGATCAAAATATAACGAGAATTTTTGATTCACTACAATCTAAGAGTCTTTAATACTGAGTCGTTCATCGCTATTGCTCATCCTTAGAATAACTTGGATGGGAAAGGCCCTTGTTTTAAAACTTATTTCGATTTAACAATTTGTTTGTTTAAAAATTCGGGTTGAAAACTCGTTTTGAATTTCGCTAAGAAAAAGTCATGAGAGCCATGCCATGTGGAAAACGATCGTTATGACACCACACACACAAGCCTCATTTCATAGTCAAGTAAAACTTGTTTAGCATGACCCCTATAAAATTTTTATTTTTCCAACGATTTCCTTAACAGTTATTCTGCAACAACGAAGAGCAATTTCTTCCATCCCCAAACGTATCTTCTTGATGTGCCAGGCAGCCTTTCCTTATGGATTTTGAATACCAGCCATCTGTAACTTTGAAGAACTATTTCTTCGATTTTTAACAAAATTTCCGTCAGTTATGGACATGCGCAGGCTCAGGGATATGTTCTTGACCTGCCTGCAAACCTTTCCATCCTTCAAAAACTCATCGTTGTTACAAGAGCAAAAGCAACGAAGGCGGATTTTTTCTAAATAAATTAAAAAAATGGTCCTGATGAGTTTTTGAAAAGTTTTCGAATCCGCTAAAGAGATTTTCTTTCCCCTTTTTTCCTTTTTCTTTCTCTTGGCAAATATAAAGCAGGCTTAAAAAGTGTCTGCGAATTCTCTTGTACGTCATTGAGTAAACTGTTGCTAAAAGAACTTAGTAGAAACCGTTTCAATACACGAAATACAGGTAAAGCAATTTGAAAATTCTCATTAATTTTTGATCACGATATATATTTTGTTGGTTGCAAGAATTTTCGATTTTTACTTTTAATAAGGATTGAAGGGTGTATCTGTGACTAGGTTCATATATTTTCCCACTTCCTGACATATCGGAACCCGTAGAGACTGTCTTCGAATAGAATACTTGAATACAAATACAACCTATTTTCTGTGATTAATTTTTTATTTTTAAATTAACAAAGTTTTTAAGAGCGTTAAAAATGCTTTTCACCATTCGGATCAATTGTCAGTATTTAATTTTTCTTCTTCTTCATGTTTCCGAATTATCTAATTATATTACCAAATATAATGGCATCCCGCACGCATTCACGGTGATGGGTGAAAAAAAGCTTTAAACATATTTTATTAATTAATATTTACATAATTTAAATATTTTCTTTTAAATAACTAAAAAGCTTTTCAAAGTGAAAAACTTTTAAAAATATTTTTTTTTTTTAATACATATGTTTTCTTTGGTTATTACAAAACAAAGGATACGTTAAGTAATTACTTTAATATTGTAACGAAGCAAATT